TCACATGTATTCACTTGAAGATAATACACATAAATGATTTGTTCTTATCTATGTTATCACTAATAGCAAGTAATGAAATTATTGATGTAAGGGTATTACAGGAGATACCAAAGATCAAATTTTGAAGTTTTTCCGAAGTTGAATGGAAAGTTAAGGAAAGAAACATTTGAAACAGTTCGATGGACATAATTTAAACTAATTCAAATAACAAACTCAAAGTATTTTGTTAATAGCAAAATATAATAGAAATAAGATCAAATCAAATGATGCGAAGACATTCTTCGCTTTTGTTCTTTCACAAATAACGGATATTAAAAACTGGCAGTGCAAGTTAGGCATCAAACATTGAATTTAAGCACTGAATTTCAGATAAATTAAAATATTAAATAATATGATTCGATTGGTTTGCCACAAGATCAAACAGATTATTATCTTTATTCTGACACTACATTAAGGTTAAAGCTTACCAAGAACTGGATATACACTGTGACTTTTGTATTAAGGGTCCGCTGTAAAGTTCCAAACGGAAAATTACTGTCATACTTAACGTACTCATCAGGAGCATTGAAAAAGTTCCACTGAAGTTTTAATAAAGAATAGATACAAAATAAGTATTACTAATGGAGTTGTGTTCAAACATTCTATGCTTCCATTTAATTGCTTAATAGTGCTGTCCCGTGGCGATGTCTCAAATGAAACGTTTCATATTAACAAGTAATAATGGATAAGCTAGGATTTAAATTTCGATTTCGAGGAACTACATAGTTTATATGAGAACAGAAATTGGTGCAAAGGTTAAGTGTAAACATAAATCTAGAGATATTCCACTGATAATTTTAAACAAGTCATAAAGTGAGGATACTACAGTTTATTACCACTGCAATATTCTCTACTGCAAGTTTTTCGCACTGACATAGATATATAAATATATAGATGCGCAGGATATGCAGTAGAGAATGTTGAAGTGACAATAAATTGTCGCATTGTATACTTACGTCGGCTGAAATATATTACCGATTGAAAACTTTGCATAAAAGTTTATTGGCGTAGAAACATGAAGAAGTAAAGATTTTTGTGTTGGAATTCAATAACTCCTCTTGACCAGACCCTTACTTCCTTTATATCAAAATACATAAGGAAGTCAACGAAGCAATTTCCAAGTTTTCACCAATTTCTGCTGATGGGTGGAGAGTATCAATCCAAGACTGAATAAAGTGTTCTCATGCTAGTAAGTGATTAAATTTGTTAGAAGAAGGCAGTAACAGCTATCGAAATGTAAATGCAAAATCTTTAGTCTTATTGATTTGAAAAACTGATAGCAGATATTATAGTAATCAGAGACTAGAGGCTAAGGAAGAAGTATTAGCACACATATCTGTCGAGTACATTGATGACAAAAAAAGCGGAGGGAGAATTCAGAATGTGCATAATAGATGAAATGTGCATAATACATTCCCGTGAGAATTTTCCGTGCTCCATACTGCTGTACTTTTGAGCCAATAGAGCATGGAGACTAGACCCAAACTAACAAAGCCTAGTGGAGTACTTCCAATTTATCTCATCTAGATAGTGACGATTACATCTGATCACTGCATAGAAGAGTCTTAGCCATGCGACAATATTTTGCTTTTCCAGTTATAGATTAACTTTTCTAATGATAAAGATTTTCAAATTACAGCACCTCTGTTCGAAAAACTTCTGAGGAGGTTTAACGAATTGTAAAAGTCTGAATTCGTCGTATGTCATGGCATAGTGCCAGTCTCAGGGATGCAGATCGAATTTGAAGAAAAAATTTTTAATGTTACTAAAGTTGAAATGAACCATGAAAGCGTTCTCGAAATTGGTCAATGCAAATGACATAAATGACAGCGAAGAGAAATGACATATTTGCAAGTTATGAAACGCTTTTGTTCCTAGATTTGAAATTATTTGTATGAACTGAACTGCATCATAAAGGAATTTAGAGTTTCAATCATTTTGCGCAGATTATCAGATCACACTTTCTTCTTTCGTCATAAAATGGCAAATACCCAATAAATTACTATTACTATTAGTTTCACTGTTAGGATGATCTGATTGTTCCATACATTACAGCCGAGTCCTCAATGGGTCGAAATCGGTTTGTGATTACCCAACTGATCATCTATGATCACAACAATTTCTACCTATTATCTTTTTTTTCATTCTTGTTTTTTCTATTTCTTTCTTTATTCAATTTGATGTTTGCTCTTCCATTCAATAGAAAATTTGGTTCCGAATTAAAGCAGTAATAATGTTAAATTTCAAAAGAAGTATTTGATAAGCTTTACAAATTTCTTTCTATAACAATATTATTATTAGCTACTATAATGTCTATAATGGAGTTATTTTATTTTATTATTATCAATCATTACTATTATGGAATTACTCAAAAAACATAACAAATTCATTAAATTTTCATAACACACAGCCATAATAATCATTAAAATAGAATTACATAACTGTAAATGAATATACTAAAACAATGAATCAGAGATGACAATGGACAGTAGACGAAAGTTAATACTAATTGGCGAACAAATGATTTTTCATTTTGTTTCAGAATACTCTCTGATAAAAGTATGCCATTATGTCAGTAGACGAAACAAGCTGATTAGTAATGCACATATTGTCTTCTTTACTTCGAATGGACAAATGCCTTTCAGGCATTAAATTTAAGAAACTTTCGAAAAAATATTAGAGAAAAAATTTGGCTTCAATTATAGCAAAGAGAGAGATATTGAAGAAAGGATTAATAAGTTGAATCTCATCATTTCAAGGAGAAAAACAAAAATTTTCATAAATCCTTTTTTGAAAAAGAGTTAGAGAAAGAAATAGCAGTAAGAAGAATAGAAATTGCATAAAGGCGATTCTGAATAAGAAATGATAACAAAGGGAAATGAAAATGGTCATTGTATATTCATAAAACAAACTTTGAAGCCTTAAAGCTCTCCGTTGAAAGCCATAAAGCTGAGAACTATGCTGAATTATTTTTTTCATCACCTACAAAGTGCTCAATAAAATTTTAAATATTTCTGCATTTGTAAACCCATTTGTGAAAAGATATTTATCTCAAATAGACAATCGCCTATTTCTTCAAAAATTGAAAATAAGAAGTAACAAACCTCATAAATGAATTAAAGCATTATTACAAAAATGCAGTGTTTCAGAGATTTTAACTAAAAAGGAGTACGAGTAAAGAATGAGGTACGAAGTAAAATCACAACTAAGTTGATAGTAAAAGGAAAATATTAGACGAGATTAAATATCAGTAAGAATTTTCAACTGTTTGAAGAAGTGAAGTGATATTGAAATGAAATTTTGGGAAGGTAAGAGAGGACCGTGGAGGTACGTGTTATTTAACGAGTAATGGATATAGAGAAAGGATGGGAGATGAAGTTTGAAACATTTCTCGTTGCCTGGGAAACAAATGAGAAATAAGAAGCAATCCATCTCAAGCAGCAATTAATTTTCTACTAATGCTTGCTAGTTTTGTATGCAAAGTGGAATAAGAATAGTTATTATAAGAGAAATGATAACAAATTGGAGCAAAGTATTTTCTTTTTTTCAATTTACTCCTAATCAATTATGTTTCGAAATTTCAATTCCATTTAGAAGCGGAGTAATTTCTCTCTCATACTTTCTAAGATACTTGCTCTCCTTAAGATAACATCATCAGTAGGACTAATATCCAATGAACACAGGAATGTTCATCAATCTTTCCAATCAGTGTTTTCATCGACTCACCGTTGATACTGTGCTCAATATCTGTTTAAAAATGTAGAAATGTCTGCTTCATAAAAATTACTTCTTGCTATTTATCGAATTTACAATGATTTCTATGTTTCTTTAAAATCCATCTGAGGACACTGAGTGAATAAGAAACTGTCACTCTACGCTCGCATAATCGGAAATCAGAAATGCTATGAGAAATAGAAAAGTAATGTCATGAAATCAGGTCGAATTTCTATCCATCTTTCTTTTCCCTCTCTTTTTGTTGTACTTAGAAAAATGGTTGTCAAAAATATTGTAGTCGCTTCTTGTTATAACCTAGACATAAGACAGCTGCTTCTAATGCACTCACTTCTTCCTTTAGCTCGTACCAAGTAGTTCATATTAAAAGGCTGGTATGGAGAGTTTGTAGGATTTTACTACAGTATACTGTTTTAATATCATGGAAAATGCATTAAAAAAATTAGCGATTAGTTAAAAGCTTCTCGAACTTTCGAACAGACAATAAAGCAGAATTCATTAATTTACAAAAGCGTAAAAATTTCTATTAAACAAACGTTCAAAATATAATGCATCAATACAGATCAAAATTAATGTTGTTAAATACAATCCAGCCAGAAATAAGTGGAGTGTTATAACTTTACAATGATTTGTAAAAATTTATTCATTCCATAGCTTATTATTTCATTTTATTTGCTCATAAAAATTGATGGAATTTAGTGATAAATTATTTCAGCATTTAAACTGGTATAAAAAAATTAATGAATAGAAAGCTCAAGTCAACAGTAAAGGAATCACTGAGCAGATGCGCTTTCAGTAAAATAAACTATTCTAATCCAAAATTTGAGCTGTGATTCTTGAACTGAAAAACAAGAAAACAGCATTTAAACTAATGGAACCATTATTAATTGTAGCAAGTTGTTTTGTCCGCAATTTGAGAATCGAAAAAAAAAGGAAAAAAAAAAGACGAAAAAGACAGTTGTGACTAATCCATCGAGCTAATTTTATTGCATGCAGTTTGTAGATACAACATCAAAGTTGAAGTTTAACGCAACCATTAATGTAATGGGGAATAATAGAAATAGCATTTGTCTACTCGATTCAGAACCCAGATGTTTTTACTGACTCCCTGAAACTGATCTGCTAAACGAAAATCGATGTATTCACTTCCTAATGCAGCCTCCAGGTAATTGTATTCCTACATATCTCTAAGGAATTCTTGACGCTGCTCCAGAAGATCTACAAACTCAATGCAACATTGGTGCTTTGCTAAATCGAGCAAAGGTAATTATTTAATTTTTAATTTTAAAGTCTCTCTTTATCCATGAAAACAATATGTTCCTAAGATCAATTAACACAATGCAACATCAATGCTGGCGAAATTTAGAAGTGTTTATAATAAGCGCACAAAATATACTGAGAAGCAGAAAAATATACTTCCAAATATTATAAAGGCTTGAGACAAGGCAGAATCCATTTAAAATTTACTTTCTAGGAATGTTTCTCCAATTCAGCATTTTCGCTGCAGCTTTTCAAAAGAAACTTTATATAAAAAGCTTATTTCTGTAAAAAATCCGCAATGTTTGTACAATAGGCAGCAAAGGGAGTAAAATAACATATGGAAAACTTGCAAAGCGTGAAAAGGAAATGATCTTAATAAAAAGGAAGCTGTTGCGAGAAAATGACAATAAGTCAAAAGGTTTGTTTAAAATGCACCGCAAATCCTTTTAGATACTAAGGCTTTATTTTCCCAATAAATACGTGGAGTACTCTTCCAAAATATCAACATAAGCAGCTATTGACTTCTAATCCTTCCAAGCTAAATTCTGCAGACAAAACCTGCGAATATGAAAATCAGCACTGCTTTAAAAAAATACAAGGAGCTAGAACAAAAACTTGATTGGATTTAAGAAAGACAATTCAAAAATCGATAACCAATACAAGTCTCAAGACAGCGAGATCACTTCAATCGCAATATAATAATCGAATTATTGCTCGGTTACTTCACCACCAAGAATTTCAGTAAGCGTTTTGTCACAGTCTCCGTTTGTCATTGGGTTTTCTAAAATTTAATGTACTTTCGAACATAATTATTTGCAAACTCAAACAACAAGTAAGTAGTAAACAGTGCAATTTACTTTCATTTAACAGTTTGAGACTATTCTCATCCAACAATTCACTGAAAAGACTTCGCAGGAAGCGATCATCGGTTTGCACGTTGCGCAGTAAATCAGCCACATCAATCCTTTGTTCGGATTTAGGAAATATCTCTTCATATGTCTCTGGAAGAAGCATTTTTGGAAAAATATAACATTATAATTAATAACGGAGAGGACTAATTCTAAAAATGGAAAACATTTATTTCATTTAAACCGTGCCTTTTTCTACTTCAGATCTTTATTAGTTTTTAATTTTTAAGGAGAGAACACAAATTTCTTTTAAGCATTTACCTATGTGTTCTTCGAAGTTAAACTTTTCGATAGTATCGTCAGTTTCTTGCACTGGATCGAAATCTCCAGTTTCCGGTGCAAAAACTACATTCCTCTCCTTAAATCATATGAACTCCGCATGTACAAATCGATGTTTTCTTTGCAACAGTATATCAATTTGAAACTATTTTTAAGTGTGATGTACTAATAAAAAATTTAAAACATTTCAAATTTCTATTTTATTAAATCAGTGTTTTTTTGCTTTGTATCAATATCGGTGAGTTCTAAATACGCATGTGAAGCTACGATCAGCAAATGATGCTGAACTTATTTCTTACTACATATTCGAATGCTTCTCTTCCATGTCACACAATAGATTCAGTTTCAATAATCTGAAGAACTATAATAAAAGTGTAAAACAAATTTTCAAACTTACGTATTTATTAGTTTTTTTGTCATGTAATACATCAAGTGACGACTGAGATTTTTCTGGAATTCTTCGTTTGATAGCAACACTAACCGGTGTCGCAAATACATTTTTCAAATCACCCAAAGCACGCCGCGGTGTTCCGTGCCCTATCACATCTATCACCTTCCCTGCATTTATATTTTTTGCAAACAAACAAGTAATAATAAACAATCAGTGATCAAATAATAATGTTAAGAATACTTCACCGAGCTGTAGAGAGCAAAGATGGAATCATAAAGCTACAACCCCCAGCGATAAAAGCTTGTAATGCCGACCATCTTTTGTATAGCATACTTATTAACGTTAGCAAGGTTTCCAATACTTACAGCCAACCGATTTTTGCGGCCAATTATGCACAATGTTAGTTTCTTAATGACTTACATACCATCCGATATTCCGATTTACGTCAAATACTATCTCATTTCCCAACAAATCGTTATAAGTAGGGTTTTATATGCGCAAATAAATCTGCCTCAAACACCGTAGGTGAACTTTTAGTCTTCTGAATACAGAAAAACTTCTGCACTGCTAGCAGGATGAAACAGTAGTACAACACTCTTTTTTTTAAATTTCAGTTTTAATAATCAGCATTACGACAAAAAAGCTGCTTCCATAACTACTCAAAATAACCCCCGAAAAAAACTCCATTAGTTCAAAGAATTAAAATTGACCTTTGATAAAACTAGAGTCATTTCCATTACCACTTCCACGAGAGATCGCTTCAGACATTTATGGACGTTTTTTAACTGGCAGCAAATATAAAATTAAAGAAAAATATGTTTGCTGCAAGAAGCATGAGATACTATTTGCAGCGTACTATAAGGAACTTCAAAAAAAAAAAAAAGCGAGTCACTTTTATACACTGGATACTCTGACTGCACACCACTTCCGCAGCGCAGAAACCAACGAAAAAAGAAAGATTAGTGCAAAAAGATCCATTTGCATAATCAGTCTAGACAAGCAAAATGAAATACCTTCAGTGAAATTTGCGCCCTAAACTTATTTGAAAACTCAGACTCATTCCATGTTCAGTTTAACCCTAGTTCGTTGTTACTCACACATTAAATTCACAGTTAGTAACGAAAACCAACATTAAATTCAAAATTCTGACTATGTTGACCGCAAAATATCTGCACTCTTCAAATGAAGATGACATTTCGGAATAACACAGAGAAGTCTATGCAACTCTTTATTTTTAATATCAGGACAACGAAAAAGTTTGACAAAAATTAATACTGGAAAATATAATCTTTGAATAAATAGAAACATGACAATTATCCGCAACTCTGAAGACGGAATAGGGATGTATATGCATCACTTCTAGTGGTATATTTGTGACAATTTCAAAAAAAATAAGCTATTCATGCATACCTTCGCCAATACAATACACAGTCAAATAATAAATTAAAAGTTATCTCTTTCTTCTACTTTATCTGATCCTATTTCACTTACCACTCAACATTTTCTTTCCAATAAATCGTTATTACCTTAAATTCAACTTTTTCGGCCGGTCACACAGATACCAAACAATATAATACAAAAAGAAAGCTAAAAAGGATAGTTTACATAGAAAGGAGGTAAATGAAGTTTGTTTCAAGAAAGGAACAGCATGAAACTGAACTGTTTGATCTGCACTTAGCGAAATTACAGCTGTTCGATATTCGGATGCCAATCCTGGATAATGAGAACATTGCCGTGTATTTTCGTCACTAAGCGGACCAAAATCGTAAGTCTTTTGAGGAAGGAATTCAACAGCTGAAAAAAAAAATATTGAAAATGTTCAGAGCAGGAAAAAAGGAATCTGATCATTTAGGAAGATGTTCACGCTTAAAAAAGCACTATAAAACAATTAAGCAAATATAATGTTCTACCGTAATTAAAATAAGGTAGTTCTTACCAACTTCTCACATATTGTGAATTTGTAAAAATTTGCTTCATTATACATTTTACAAGTTTTAGAGGCTTACTAGCACATAAAATTTTTATGTAGCTAAAAGTGAAAGCGAGAGCATAAGAATCACTTTTAGCAATTTATTGAAATAAAAAAAAAAAAACCGAAATTATGATTTTACCTGTAACGAAGATGGTGTGTGTTTTATGGGCAAAATATAGCAGTTTCAATTCATGTGTATCATATATACCCACGCTTCCATCCATTGTTCCAACGGCAAAGAAGTTACCACAGCCGCTCACAGCTAGAGCTGATATTATCTATAACAATTTTATTGCAAATTATTTGTACACCAATTTTCTCAAATGATCACTAATCGTTCAAATCGACCGCAATTTAGTTTAAACACCATTACTTCGGAATTTCAACAGTTGGTGGCAGTACATGAGGAACTGGAATTCTAAGAAAATTCAACTTTGGAATTCGATTATTTTCACAGGGAAATAAATATGCCGAGATGAAGAGAGAATTGATAACAAAATGAAAATTAGATAATAAACAAAGGCAAATAAAAGATTGAATAACCTCTTTACATGCTTCTCGAACAAGTATTGGCCGGCATACATCTCGCTCATTATTGAACGCCCATAGCGCAACATATGACACAGCTTTTTTTGCAAGTCGGATTTGATTATAAGTTACCAAAAATATTGTGTTCTTAGAACCAAGAATCGTAAAGCGCACTGACCGAACCTGCATAGCAAAGTTCACTCATTTTAAAAATTTAAAAACAGTTTGGATTGTAGCGGATATTTTCAAAGCTCGCCAATTTAATCTGATGTTCATATTTTTAGAAGTCGTATATAAAAATCTGCCTGATAGGATATATTTTTAAAAATTTCCATAATATACATATACAGAGCTTATGTCACTAACCAGCATTTTAGCTAGAATCCACAATCACTTACCCTAAAATCAGCCCCAATTTCATTTGGCATTGGTAAGCTACAAATTTTTCTTCCATTTACTGCATTCCAAACATATACAAATGTATCATGTCCCACACTGATGCACAATTTTCCACTCGGCGAAATATCCAAATCATCCACATCCCCTTGATGAGCTTCAATTTTTATCAATGGAGTATGTTTCAACACACAACCCTATAACATAAAAGAACCACCATGTATAATGTTCTTAGATAATTAAACAACTCAACCACAATTTTAATAGATACAAGTGAAAACTTGAAATATCGTACGAAAAAAGCCTTAAGTAACGAAAACACTTACTTGTCTTAACGTTTCTACATCCCAGATACGTATACATCCATCTGCACCACCTGTATACAACCTCTGAGGTTGACCTTCAACACTTCGATCAAACCGAACAGTTTTCTGCAAAAAATCTTTCCTTTAATCCTTACTTGTCAATATATTTATTTCGCAATGTATTTGATTGGTTCTCTCCCATGAGATAAAAAATATTTTTATTATTGTTCTCTCTGACTGAAAACTTTCACCTGGTAACCATTATTCAACTTTTCATCTGAAGTAATTCGAGATATTTTCTCAAAACTTAGCGCTAGTTGCGGTTGCTCGTTTTCCTTCGCTTTTAATAAAGAAAATCCTTTCGATTCGTACAAATCGCAGTACTGAAGTCAGACAAAATTTTAGACATACTTATTAAAAAGACACACTATTTGAGGGAGGGGAATTCCTTCAAATTACAAAGTGATAATAACTGTGCCATTGAGAGCACTCGATAATAAAGAGGAAGCCAAAAATGGATAACAAACGACTGATGGCATGCAACAAGCAAAAAAAAAAAAAAAAAACTTTGTGCATACTAACGATCTGTAGTGATTCGATGCTATTTCTACCACTGTTCTTTACAGAGGTAACAGATATTTCTGCAATTGTTTCTTCATAAAGCAAATTTACTAAAAAAAAATATAGGAGTGGCGATTGGTGAATAAAATACTGACCTGATCATGTCCGGCAGCCAAAAGATATTTACCCAGTTCTGAAGGTCCCAATAACACACAGTCCATATTCATTGTTGCAAAAGGATCGGTTTCCAATGAGTTCGTAACCTCCGTTACTAACGGTAACCGTTCATTTGTCTGTGATGAATTCCCTGCTGCAACTGCCAATAACTTTGAATCGAACGAAAGCAGCAAGGTCTGCAAGAAGCATTGCTCTTCCACATCATTCCTTTAATTTCTTAACAGTCACCCACTTAACAGTCACTTAACAGTCACTTCATGGATAATCAGTTCTGACTTTAAAAACACAATTCATGCTACAGAATTAAAATCCTTAGCTGTGTGAAACCACCAAATATAATCTTATGCAAATTCACTGTTGACAAATAAGTCTTGACGAAGTTTTAAGAAATAAGCTATTTTTAGGTCATGTCTTATGCCAGCCTTCCGGTGGAGTCAGTTCATATGAACATCAGCTACGACATCATTCACTTTAAACCTTTTTGTTAAAGTACCTTGTCTGAATTGAAACATACCTGTACGTAACCTAAACCTATAATTAGTACAACTTCAGGAGATAAATTCTGGATTTTTCTGAGGACTCTTCTCTCCACTGTATATCCAGTCATCCTCATAAAATGCAGAAGAAGGAGGACAAGAGGAAAGCTATAAGCGTGAGGGGTAATTTAAAAGCTGTATGATAGCAGTATTATGAGTGATAACAATAATTAATAATAGATGATACTGATGACAGCCAAAAACTATTACAAAAGTGCATCAATCTTTCTCGTTTCACGATGTCATCAGTTGTTGTACTTGCGAAACAGATCTGATGCATTTCACGGAAATACTTGACAGAGGTATGAATAAGTACGCAGATGAGTTAAAGGATGAAGAAAGGAACAAACCTGGATGTTGTTGGGTACTCCAGTTTTGGACGCTCCTCCTCCGCCACCAAGGAGAATATGTCTGCTACCAACAACCTGGACACAATAAGTTGGCGAGGAGCAACGGGCGATGACAGGAGCGCCACTTCTCGACGTCGAGTTTCCCATTGAACTAATCCTCACAAGTATCAATTGAAAAATGCTTTGTGACAAGCCTCTTTGATGTATACAGAAGTCATGCTTTCTTCTTAGGACCTTTACTGACGTTTTATTTTGAATTTGTCCCGACAGTACTACCGCATAATGTTATACTTATCGATTATCATGTCCTCATTTCATGTCTATCAATTACCACTGTCCTCGTTTCAGGTTATATCTATTGGTTATCATGTCCTGATTTAGGTTATTTCAGTGAACTGCCGTGTTTTAATACCATATTTTTGACACTTGGAAATTTGATGATTATATTATGGATCGTAGCATATTTAACAAGAAATCTCAATAAAAAGTGTTCAGTGAGCTGAAGAAATCTACATTTGGATCAACATATTCACTCTTGGCTTAAATTCAATCTTTAGTTTGTGTTTTAATTTTTAAAAATTGTGAATCCGTTCCATCTTTTTGATTTTTTTCTTGTTTTTTGATTAGTTCTTCTTTCGGTCTTAAACAGTATACGATGCAACATAAAAGTTCTCGTTTCCAAAAAAAAAAAAAAAAAATCACTTCAATTTAAGAAATTAGAACATCACTACCATAACATAGTTCACAGCAAACACAATGATAAAGTCTAAAGTCCACAGTTTATCATTTTGCCTTTTTTAATGTCGACGCCATATTCAGTTTAATGTTTGGTGAAGGTTTTTTCGAAAAACAACATCTCTTAAATTTGCCATGTTTTGAAAATCTTTCCTTATTTGTTTTCTTTTCCCAGTTTTTTAGCTGAAATTGCTCAAATTTTTGTCTCCAGTGATATTTAAGATTTGTATTAATAAGGAAACTAATAATTCAATAAAATTTTCTGTCTTTCTGTTACAAATGTTTCATATTATATCGTCGGCTATGATTATTTGTGATACAATTGATCCGGTCCTGAGAAGACGCCATGCATGATTGTGTCTTTATGTTTGATTTAATCCTCTTATTTATGGTATAATTAAAAATACGAATTAGCGCCTGATGTTATGTATAGAAAATATAGTTTAGTAAAACAGTCTTATAAAGTATTGAATAGTGGCGTACAAACAATTCTATAGTTTATTATTTTTTTTTTTTTTTTGAAGTACAAAAACTTACCTGATAACTGATAAAACTAATAAAAACTAATGATGCTTAATCAAATGTTTGGATTTAGTAACTTTCGTGTAGTAAAGGATAAAGGTGTATTAGTAGCAAAATCTAAAGTGAAAAACTGGACCTTAAATTTTGTGAAGATGTTGACTGGTTTATCAGCAACTTTTTTTTCAGATTTAAAAAATGATTGCAAGCAGTACTTCAACCTGTAGTTTTCTATTAAAATTGTTTCGCCTCCAGTACTCTACTTCCGTTAATTTCGGTTTTGGTTAGTAATAATTTAAAGAGGAGCTCGTTTTTCTTTTTAAAAGAACTGATCAATAAGTATGTATGATTTGAAGAATTCTTACGGTTTACTTAATAACTTTCAATTTTCCAGACTTTACGGACAGCCAGCAGCAACTAAATAAAGCTGCACGTAAATTTGTAGCTGATGAAGTGATGCCAGTAGCAGCTAAATACGATAAAAACGGTGAATTTCCATGGGATGTGCTTAAAAAAGCTCATGCTAATGGGTTCATGAACACAACAATTCCTAGAAGTTGCGGTACTTTTTCAGTTTTCATTCGTTTTATTCTATTAACTAATCTAATAGTATTTTATTCTATTTTCTGTTAATAAATAATCTAATCGATAATTATATTGCTTACTTATTTAGCTACTTTAGTTGTAAAGTTGTTTGATTTATTCAACTGACTCAGAATGTTGCCAAACAAAGTGCCTTTAGATGTTTTAATTAACCGAATTTATTTTCGATAATACCTTCAGCAGTTGCAACAACATTGAGCTTTAAAATATGAGCTCATTTTCGAAAGTCATTACAGGTGGCCTGGGATTGGATATGGTCACAAATGTTCTAATTCATGAAAGATTTGGATATGGTTGTACGGGAATAACCACAGCTATGTTAGCGAATATCCTTGCTGAAACACCACTGATTTTAGCTGCTAGTAGTGCAATTAAAAAAAAATATCTAGGGCGAATGGTCGAAGAGCCTTTGATGGCTGTAAGTATTTTTTTAGTGCTGATTTTTCCTTTTTTTCCTTTTTTTTTTTTTTAAATTTAAATGTTCAGATTTTATTGCAGACTGATGCATACACTTTTAGTAGTCTCATCAAAGGACCTCCTGTTTGATTTTCAGACCTCATTTCACTTTGGTCCCATTAACTTTATTCATAAAAGATGACAAAAACACGAAATTAAAGATGGATTGATAATTTATTGCTGTCTGCATATCGCATTAATTTCTGGTTTATTTTGCTTAAAGTGTATGCAAACTTATCCAGCATTTTTTCTTTCTAATTTGGGACTTTTAACTATAGGATATTACAGTCATATGTAGTCACAGAGTCATGTGCTGGTTCAGATGTTGGAGCTACACAGACTTGTTGTAAGAAGAAAGATGATAAATACGTCATTAACGGGTCCAAGATGTGGATTACCAATGGTGGTGTTGCAAACTGGTTTTTCGTACTTACACGAAACGATAATGATCCAAAAATACCTGTTAGCAAAGCCTTTACGGCATTTGTAGTTGATGCTGATACACCGGGCATCAGTATTGGAAAAAAAGTTAGTTTTGATAAGTCTTTCTTGGTCTGACAGCTTTAATTTAACTGACTTTACTTACAAATCTTGATGGACTGGAGTTATGAATTTTGTAGCTACTTTAGCACATTAATGGATGCAATTAAAGAGGTAATAATGAAATTGTGTGAGAATGAAAAGGATTATTTCCTGATTTCAGGAAATAAATATGGGTCAACGTGCGTCAGATACACGAGCAATAACATTTGAAGATGTTCAAGTACCAAAATCACAAATGATTGGTGGTCCTGGGGAGGGCTTCAAGATTGCTATGAAGACTTTTGATACTACCAGGCAGGCAATTGTTATATTAATAACTTCGCTTTGAAAATATTTTTACGAAATCTAGAAGAATTAAATGAAAAGTAAAAAGAAGGGTACTTCAGACCACTGGTGGCAGCGATAGCAACGGGATTAGCGGCTCGTTGCCTGGATGAAGCTTGCAAGTATGCACTAGAAAGAAAAACATTTGGTACTCAAATCGCTAACAACCAGGTAAAATTACTAACACGAAAACAATGAATTAGAGCTTGCTTCTTTTTTGTCTCATTAATACTTTCCTATAGACAAATTTCTTAGAAAATCATAAACCTCTTTTAATTTTACATTACTATGATCACTTCGGCACTACTCTTGAGGCCAATTAATAATGCCATCTTTCTATGTACATCATTTATTACATATAACTTATTAAGTTCAGTAATATTAGGGAATATCATTTATGTTGGCTGATATGGCTATAAATGTGGAACTTTCACGGCTGATAACTTATCGAGGTGCATGGGAAGTGGCACTAGCACAAAGCTCACCTGCCTCATATTATTCGTCCATTGCTAAATGCTTCGCTGCAGATACTGCCAACATTGCTGCATCTAACGCTGTTCAAATCTTTGGCGGCAAGAATTATTTTTGTTTTAAACTTGATGGCATATTTACAAATTGTTGTCATAACTGCCAATTTAAATGCAAAATTCTTAGCAGTTTTCCCTTTGTCATGTCTACATTTATAGCATAATGTTCTTTACATCATTTAATTATTGTAGGGAATGGATTCAATACAGAATATCCGGTGGAAAAACTAATGCGTGATGCAAAAATATTACAAATTTATGAAGGCACCAACCAGATCCAAAGGATTATTATTGACCGCAAGTTAACTGCGCAAATTCAAGAAACCGGAACTACAAGCATGCTTTAATGATGGAAAGAAATAGAGCTTGATTGACGTGAAAGTTTTTTATAAGTATGATTTGGGAGCTAAGACTTTAAGTACGATAATTCTTAAAGTGCAGCCACACAAACCTTTATTGAGAGAAAATTTGCATTTGTGCAAATTAATAAATTCTCGAATTAAAACTAATTTTTGAGAAATTTATCATTTACGATCAATACTGTGAAGAGTTGTCACTTTGAGTTCAAAAGTTCACTTTTCTGTAATTCTTTTCATCAATTCCACAAATGCTAACAGTAGCTTATATTATTAAATGTGTTATATATAACTTTGCACTCATGATGAAATAAGTAAATGCTATAAAATATCTGAATAATGTGATGATCAAATGTTTGATAAAGTATTTTTAACGATCAAACCTCTCATTTATATAATTGATTTAAGCTGTTAAATACTTTTTAACTTTTCATTATCAGTATCATTTTCGTCATTTTCAAACATGTCATATCGCGAAAGTATATTCTAAACTTATTTCTAAAGTCTTTGAATTTTAATTTGGGAAATTTCCGCTTTGGTTTCATAATTTCATATGAAGAAACAGAATTCTAATCAAATTAGTTTCATTAAAATAAATATCATACTAAATTTTCTCCCCACAGAGCTTTTTAAGAAAAGCATTTGTTTTTAGAGACTTTATGATGTTTTCAAGATATATGCTACAAAAACTACAGTGCTGCAGTATTCGGTTTCAAAATCGATTCGTTTCATTTGGTCTAATCTTCATGATTATTTATTTACAATGAATTAATTGATTAATTATCTTAAAATCGCCGTTAACCTTCAATGTACCTCTTAATATCTTTGTTACTTCTAATACTTCGAACAGATAATCAATAGGCTTATCTATTGTTTATTTTTTAGGGCTCTCCGATACACAGCGTAAATATCGCGATATTGCAATGAAATTTGCGAAGGAAAAAATCATGCCTGTAGCAGCTCATTACGACAATACTGGCGAAGTAAATAATTAATTTTAAAAATTTCAGCATTAAATTTATTCACAGAAACATCAAAATGGAACACTTTTAAATAGTGATCTCAAAAAAAAAAAAAAAAAAAAAAAATACAATAGTCTTTGCCATAGCTCAATGCAGCAGATAGTACATTTCTTTCTTTTTTACATATTAAAACTTTCACTGGAATGAAATTCATTTGTCCATCTTTTAGTTTCCATGGGATATTGTAAAGGAAGCACACCGAATAGGTCTCATGAATCCACAAATACCTAAAAAGTATGGTAAGGAAATAATTGTTTCTGTCATTGATATAAACAATAAATATAATAATAAAATAAAATACTTTATTTTTTAGGTGGACTAGAATTAACATGTTTGGAAACCACTCTAATAGTTGAAGCATTGGCTTACGGTTGTTCTGCTATTCAGCTTTGTATCATGGGACCATCGTTAGCTGTTGCTCCTTTTATCATAGCCGGAAACGAAGAACAAAAAAAAAAGTATTTAGGAATGCTTGCTGCCGAACCTATTATTGCAGTAAGTCTTCAAAGAAGGAGAAAGACAATAAGAAAATAGAAAGAACAATTTACTCAACATAATTTTACAACATGTCATAAAAAACGATAGCTGATTCCCTTAGTAAGAGTCAAAATTTATAAACTTCTTGGATTACTCAAATAATATTGAGATTTTTAAGAAAAAGCGAAATTATATTGTTAGTGAAATTACAGTAATGCAAATTAGCATTCTGTGCTTTATCATCTTTGTTCATCAAGTTTTTTAGGCTTACTGTGTGACAGAACCGACAGCAGGCTCCGATGTTTCAGGTATTAAAATGAAGGCAGAAAAAAAAGGTACACTGTTAATTGTAAAAAAACAATTGTTTAGATTGATGTGGAAAATCAAATACTTACAAGAAATCAAAATGAATTGATTTAAAATGTTAAATTCAGAAACCATTGAATTACTCGGAAAATTCACAGAAAAGTGCAATGGATCGAATTTTTAGGGGACTCGTATGTATTGAATGGTACTAAAGCTTGGATAACTGGTGGTGGACCAGCTAAATGGTTTTTCGTACTGGCAAGGACGGATCCAAATCCAAAAGTACAACCAGGAAAAGCATTCACCGCCTTTATTGTTGATGGAGATACGGAAGGAATTAGTAGGGGAAGAAAGGTAAAATTAGTGTAAAATTACAAAAAAAAAGGGTAAAAGAAAAAAGGTGAAAGCACAATCTGCCGAAGAAGCGAATAGTGGTAACTTAATCAATTTGCTCAAAAAAAATAAGCGTCAACCATTCCAGGAGCAAAATATGGGGCAACGATGTTCGGATACACGAACAATAACATTCGAGGATGTTGTAGTCCCGATGGAGGTAAAAATAAATGAAATGAAAGCTATAACTTTCAAAAACATTGCTGCTGATTGTTTGTGCTTCAGAATCTAAGATTTTCACTTGACTACGATTGTGGTGATTACATAAGATTTTTTTCAGAATATTCTCGGTACACCTGGTGCAGGTTTTAAAGTAGCAATGGAGGCATTTGATATGACCCGTCCTGCTGTTGCAGCTGCAGCAGTTGGACTTTCTTGGCGTGCTCTCGATGAAGCATGCAAGTATGCATTAGAAAGAAAAGCATTCGGAGTGCCAATTGCTATGGTATTCGGTCATGACTCATTGTTCAAAAGTTTCTAAACATTAGTGGTAGTGCAGTTATAGCTGTAATCAAAGGATTAAACTAGTATTGCAAATATAGGAAGAGTGTTGATGAGCAGAATCTCTCAGAAGTCTAGTTGTATAATGCTATATATTTGCTCTTATAGATCTCACTTTCCTCTCTTATTTAGAATCAAGGAATATCGTTCATTTTGGCAGACATGGCAGCAAATTTGGAACTCGCTCGGCTAATTACATATCGTGCCGCGATGGCTGTCAACAATAAAGCATGCTTTTCTTATTACGCTTCGGTAGCTAAATGTTTCGCTGCTGATACTGCTAACATCGCTGCAACCAATGCCGTACAGATTTTTGGAGGTTTGTTTTTATAAAATCGCCTATAATTACCCTGTTTGTTTCGAGAAATTAAGTTTATTTTTTAATTTAAAAAAAAATTAAGGTGTTTGCAGGGACACACAAAATGTTTTTTGTAGGTAATGGATTCAGTAAGGAATATCCAGTGGAAAAATTGATGCGCGATGCGAAAATATACCAAATTTACGAAGGTACAAGTCAAATACAACGAATCGTTATCTCGCGCTATATTCTACAAAAAGTTGCAAATACAGGAAGCGCTTCTTGATATTCTCAATGGTATGTGTAAGCATCAAAAAAAACAAAGATAGATTTGATTGATATATTTTGTTTCACGTAAAAGTGAACGACGCTATTTCTGTTCACTAGTTTTTGCATATTTAAGCACTGTGTCTGCTCTGTGGAGTGCAGAAATACTTCACATGAATATGCTTAGATTTTCTGATAATAAAACAGTGATTTACTAAAGCTGCACAGTGCATGGATGTTAGAAGTATCCAGTTAGACAAAAATAGAGCGAAGATTTAGTGAAGAAACTTGAAAGAATCAAAGATAACAGAGTTTGAAAAAATATGGAAGGCGAAGAATTTATTATAACTTAAGAAGGAAAAGTAATCAGATTTCAATTCCAATTTCTATCCTACCAAACATAGAAACAATAAATTAAGAGGATGCAATAATAAACTAGTATAATTTTCTTCTAGAGTTATTTCGTAGCATTCTTTCGAATTCCCACATCTTTACACACTTAGGGTATGGATTCTTGTAGGAATTAAATGTTGATTTTGAGAAAAGTAAGTGTAAAAAGCACTTAAAGGCTTTTTGGCTTTTCTTATCAATTCGCTTCATACCGCTTCATACTTCATACTGTGAAGTACTTTGAGGAAAGAAGAATGAGCAAAGTCTGGCTAGAACTTCTTTCACTTCTTGGAACATTTTGTAAGTTAAAGAAGTTGACAATGACAATTAATCTCATGCGTTATAGTTATATAATAGTATAGAAGAAAATATAATTAAAGCATTCGAATAAGTACAATACGTGCTGGATTCTTCAAGCATAACGTGCATAACTCGGACGTACCGACGCAAAACATATGTATTGAATTAAAAGTGTCATTTCATATCCTTGTCACTGAAGGATGTTACAATTGCATCTTGCATTGAGAAATGAAAAGAAAGATGTAAAAAGTGGTAAATTTGCTTTTCAAAATGAAAAACTGTGAATGTCCGCAAACAGTGCAGATGGCGTGGACAGTCTTAAATGCAAATAGATAGCAGGAAGAGATAGAGAAGGGAACAATGAAGTAAACAAATGGGCAGAGAAACATATTTGTCGCCTATTGGTTGCTGTGTTCAGATGATTCTTCCATTTTCTGGACCGTAAAGTTACACTTTTTATTTTCTCATTTTTAAGTTCAGTAAATATCCATTTGCGGATCTTTCCTTTATTGGGCTTCAGTTCACAGCATCATATTTTAAATATTAAACCTACTTTAATCAAGCGCAACGTGCAGCAACTTACGTCTATAATTTTTCAAATTAAAAGTGTTTTTTCATATTTTTGTAAGGGAAATAAAAAACAATGAAGCGATTTTTGAACAAATATAAAACTGTTCTATTCAAAATATGAGAGACAATTCTGTTTCAATTTGACTGATCTTTTCTCTGCTCTTAATTTACATGATAGTAAATTAGTCAATTTTCAACAACTACTACTGAGTTCTTTTGCTAACTGCTTCCAATTTGCCAACTGCTTCTCACTAACGGTTGAACTAGTGCACAAAATCTTTTACAATATATTCTATCTAAAGAATACAAAGATACATTGAAAGGAAGCGATTCTCTTATTTTCTGTTCTATTTTGCCATCAATATCCTTTAAAAAAGAAATGATGACGAAGCATCTCAAAGTGAAAACAGTTTGTCATCAAACATTTTTTGTTCACCGATTGTAAATGCATTACATGAAAGCTTTGCTTATTTAAAATTTAAAAGATATGAGCAAAATTTTACTCACAAAAACCACAAATTTTGAAAAAGCTCAAATATGCATTATAAAAATAAGAAATGTAAGAAAAAAAATCAAAGTTTGTGACATACCAAGAATGAATCTCGTCTACTTATTCGTTTACTCGTTGCATTCTCCGCAACTTTGAGATATTCTGACCCTGTGAATATGAGATATTCTAACTGTGTGGAGATCTAAGATGAAAAAGCAAGAATCCAAAACAAAAGCCACTGAAACAATCTAATGAATTTAGTTCTGTCAGTCAGATAATACTAACTTAGGTCAATGAACCTAGAAATGTCTTTCATAAAGAGTTCAATATTATCGATGATAGATGGCCTTAACGACAATATATCAGAATTTCTGAATTTCGGAGTTTCTATGTTGCTCTTTTGAGTGATTACACTTGATATTTTAATTAATTAAATTATCTACATAATGGAATGAAGCTATTAAAGAAGAGCCTTCCTTACATCTTTTCACAATGCTTATGCATATTTTACAATTAAATAAAAAGTGGAAATGAATCAATGATTTTTGTCCCAACCACTAAATACACTACAAGAGAAAATGCAGTCTGGGTAATTTGCATTTTTGGGCATCGTTTTTTCCATTTTTCTTTTCCACCTCTCTCAGTTTCAAATATCCCTTACAATGCATCTTTGCTTCACTCCTCTTATCAACTGTACTACTGTACACCAGTCTCTCATCAGCTGCCAAATCCATTTTTTTTTTTTTTTTGAATCTTTGACGATATGCAAAGTTCTTCGTTTAAATTACTGAGAGAAGAGAGCCTTCAATGAATCATCGCCCTGTTTTTATTTATCTAAATGTAAGTTGAGACAGGTAAGAAGAGAATGCTGTTGGATCAGACAGCTTGTTAAATAAGTAGAAAGGACTGGAATTGCATCATTACTGGCCTAGTGCTGAATGACTCTTTTTGTGATTCGCACAAAAGGGCTTGCCTTCCTGATAAGGTGGTATCTGAGAATTGAGAGAGAGAGGGAGAGAAATACAGGAAAGGATGAAGGTCGATTGTGTTACTAACGATTTAGTAGACCATTTAGTGGAAATATTCATTAGTTTAAATTCAAAATTAAGATTTAGTAGTGCAGTTCGAGTTTTGATGAATTTGAATCCTTGTAAGACTTACTGCTATTAAATTGCAAGGACTCAGGAACAGTTCTAACAGTATGTCATTTTCCGTTAAGCATCAAAATATTGCTAGAAAATGATTTTTTGTCACATCGATTCCGCTCCATAATTATCAGTTATTGCTATCACTGTCATTTGTTGTATGTAAGTGTATGTTATTTTTGCAAGCATTCCTGCATTAGCATGCATGTGCGTGATGTCTCTGCAAGTATTTCATATTGCAATTAGTTCATTGAAAATTGGAGTTTTTAGTGATATGAAGAGAGTAGAACCAGGCAGAAAAGTGAGAAAATTTTTTGAATAAATAAATTATATGCAATAGCAGGTTCATCGCATTTCCTTTTTTGTCATTTATTTTCTTAACTTTAATGCTCAATTCTTTTATTGAGAAAAAATTTGATTTTACAAAAAAATGGAATTGAAAATAAAATGGAAACGGGTGTTTAACGTCTGTTACATTTAAAAATTTCCCAAGTCCTTAAATGCATGCGATACCTGTCCTTTCATTCCAATTTATACGTCGCACTTGATCTAACAGTATAAAACAACGTTTACAAATTCGAATGTATGTAAAACACATATTTGATAACAGAAACACATGCATGCATGCATGTTATGGATAGTTTTCCTATAAAAATCATCTTAAATAGCTTTTTATCTTATTTATGATATGATGTACATTGTTCTCAAAATACATTTAAGTGTATTTTATTGAAGTTTTAACAGCGTTTAATGTTGTCATTTGAATTTTTTTCATTTGTTGAGCGATGCGTGCTCAAATTTTCAAAAATAAAACCTGTTCAGTTCAGATTATCAAAGCTTTTAGTTTGGGCTTACAAATATACACTTCTTCTGAATATTATAATTAGTGCTGTATTTAAGAGATATTTTCTTAAAGCAACCACTAAAAGAGAATCTTGGGAATGACGCTGATATTAAAAAATACAATATGCTTCTTCAACTTTAGCCTTGTTTCTGAGTGAAATTGAAATAGATTCACCAATAAGAGCAATGAATGCATTCTCTACCTTTCGGTTGTTTCCCTTTCATATGAAATGATTACTTTATGTTTATGGTAATATTTACTTCGTTCTAGGAAGATATATTAATCGCAGGAAGGAGTGGTTTATGCATTTCATAATGAAAATTTGAATTCCACTGCTTCATTTTTGCTTTACTTACTATATTTACTCATTTCATCAAGCACAACTGAATGCAAATATATCTGTGGATCATTGCTGCATTTCTTGCCACAATTCTGACTTTATCAGTGTTGATCTTATGCTATATTCTAATTTTGAAGCTAACGAAAAATCGATTGCATACTTCTAAACATCCCATTATCGTTCGGCCGGAAACCACCAAACCGATTAATGCATTTGGTGTGTAATTTTTCTGAAAATAAAGTAAGATAGCCTAACAGTTCTGCACAAGGTTACGATGAGGGTTTGGAGATAGTAGTTTTGCCTGGTACCATTTCCGGTATCAGTTCTTCTACATTTTAAAACACTGAATAATTTGCATGTTTTGAAACAGTAATACCGGACTTTGAACGCTGAAATTCAAATTTTAACTAAATCAATTGTTTTGAACTGTAACATATTATCCTCACATTAATAAGGTGAGAAACTCACGAAAGTAATATTTAAGTTAAGCTAAGCTTATCAAAATATTGTTTTGCAAGAAAATACAATTTCATGTAATATAATAAAAATATGTGTAATACAACCTAACCTACATGTTTACTTAATCCTGAAATTAAAGCTTCTTCTCAAGATTTTTATCTGACCTTCTATTAGGAAATTCTGTTAAAGTTCTTTGACATAATGATTTGCAACCCATCACTTTTATTCATTTTTAAAACCACAAACCCCCCTTGAAACTAATAATAAACAATTCTAACTTTCTTTAATAAAAAAGCTTCCATCACAAAACACTAGCATATTTCAAATTTTGTAATAAGAAATTATCAGGAATGAGTCCTTCAAAACTTTCATGTAATGCATTGTAATTGACGGAAGCGAAAGCCTTTTCGCAACAATGCTGTGCACTTGTCAGTAACTTACTTATCAATAAGCTTCTTTCATGATGAAATGAATAGTTATATAATGCAAATATCGTTACAAGAAATTCTTGAAATTATGAAATCACATTCTGAGGCAAACTATGGCATTACAATTTACTCCGACTACAATTCTATATTCCAAAAAACAGTTCTTTCAAATTTGGATTCCTAATTTTTCTGAGCGATAACACAATTCTTGATGAAGATATAAGGTTGCATGAGGCGTAACATTTGTATAATACCATACAGGCAAAAGAAATAATAACTCAATGAATTTGAAAGATATCAAAAAATGTGATTCCCCCCAGGAAAATTTTCAGATGAAAGCATCGAAGTGCATGACGAAATCTTGAAGCCCTCAGTGATCACCGTTTTTGAATATCCGAATAATCATAAGGCTAATATCAAGAATGTCGAATCAGAACGAAACCGAGCATCAAGCAGGAAACCTAATTGGATATCCGGTGAGCTTTACTTTAAGAATATTTTGATCTTAATTGCAGATCTTCCAATGACACTTCTTTATCATTGAAGGAAATGTATTTACAGTAGATGATATCTAAAGTTGTTTAAACTAGACCAGTTACTATATTGAACTTCGAAGTTTTATAGCAATAGAACCCGCAAAAGAAGTTCGAGTATAAGGTTTTAATGTTAACCCTCTGGATTCATAGTTCAGTCTAAAAAATAAAAATTTAAGTAGGAAACTAGACCACTTCGAAAATAAGGGATTTCTTGGGCATCTCAAACATAAACCGTCATACATATACATAATACTATGCTATATATTTTTCGGTTCACAACAACGAATTGGTTATTTTGTGGATCGAGACCCTCCATCAAACGAATCTAAATGTGATTACTTGGATCCACTGGATTTGAATCTCAGCCAACTTCATAATATTTACATCGCTGGAGGCAACCACCACTTGTTAAAGCAAATGGACACATTACGAAACAATGAACCAACGGTGACTACATATGCATAGCTTAACTTTCATTTCAACCTAGAAATTTCCGAAAGTAGCACCAGTACTTTCGACTGCCATAATGTGTGCTTCAATTAGTCGTCAATAAGCACTAAAGTCCAGTAGAAAAGCTGTGTAGCAACCACTCAATAGAGTGACTAGTCACAGATTTGTCCGTATAATTTCATAATTTTTATAACTTCCGAATGAAATTGACTTCAATGCTTATCATTCCAATCAAAGTCAGTAATTCAGTTAAAATTTCAGCAAAACAGAAAAATCAAATCAATACATCTACTCATTTATTAAGTTAAGTTACCTAAAAACTTCGATCAACTGTTTATTTTTATGTTTTCCTTCAAGAAAGAGCACTTTTACCGAATAGTATTTTCACTTTCTTTTGTTTTTTAAACTAAATATTTGTTGTAACGACACTAAAATTTGTACCACATTCGACCATAAAAATTCTGTCTATATCAACATTCTGAACTCATAAAATTCTTCAAGAATAACACTAAAAAGAAAATGAGCCTTGATCATGAAACTATAAAAGCTTAAAAAAACACATCAATGAAATTGAAATTCATTCAAGCACAAATATTTTTACAACTTCCATAATTATGCCAAATGTTAGCAACTTCCACTTTTTGCATGTTTTAGAAAGTTAAATTTAATCTGACAGTTTGCCGAGAGAAATCTCAAATCGATAATTCATGCCATCTGTGATGTGATTTTTAGATACTTTGAATATTCTGGACTTTGCGTGAAGATACGAATTTTTCGCCCTATTTGTTTCGATGTATCCTGATAAATATTCCTTGCATCACGACTCATTTTCTGAATTAATACAAACTTTAAGGTGTTTAAATTGTCAAAACGATGAAATTCTGGTTGGATAATAAGTTGTAACAAATTCGAATGCATATTAGCACAAAAAATTTCGAAGGTACGGAAAGCTCCACGATTAACTTTTTACAAGTTATGGGAAGAACCATTTTTATCTAACAGAACGAAGGCTTCAAATGAAAGGTCTTGCCTCATAATCACCACCATGTTTCTCGATCATGTAAATACAAAATTCAATATCTCGAGCAAGCAAACGATAGCTGCGTCCTTTTTTTTGCTTTATTTTTTCTTCCTCAGCTTCTTTTTCCAAAGCAGTAATCACTTTCGCAATCTTCGACTTATTGACAGTTGATTTCTATAAATTTCCGAAAGCTGAGTTATTCAAACAATTTAAATAGATTTCGAAAAACTTAGAATTCAGGGATCTGAAAATCAACCACAAAGACAATATGAACCATCCAAGTTTCATCCACGACCTCTTAATATATACGCCACAAATATCTGAGGAAATTGGACACACCACCTAAATACTATCAACCTTTTTTTCCAACGCTTAGATTCCTTCAAACTCTAGTAAAGTGACTGAAATAATACACATAATGAAACTCGACCCAAAACTTACGGTCTTCAGCATCTGGGATTTAATCGAACCGTATGGTTTTAGTTCGTCAATCTCCATTTCTTCACAGTGCTTGTTCTATAAAAAGTTTCGAGATTAACTCGCATATTACTAGAAAGGAAGAAGAGATTAAAATATATCAAATGTTCTATGTGAAGTGAAAAAACAACTTAAGACCTCAAAATTAATCCATTAGAAGAACAAATAAAAATTACAATGCTTTGCTCCAAAGGAAACAATTTGTTTGAGTCATAAGCAAGTCCCATTGCTTTCATATTCTGCTTGATTGTAGAATTCTTGTCCCAAGCTATCCGCATCTGTTTACTGTAATGCACAAAAAAAAAAAAATCAGGATTTAATGATCATATGAAGGGGAGATAAGTAATTTCACAAAGCAGCAGGAAAGTTCAACGGTATTACAATGTGAAGTGAGAAAAGTGTTGTGTTCAAAGCTAGGTCTGAATTCACCGCAAAATATGAGAGTCGCCCTCAAGGTAAAGATGACTGCTTGTTTTATAAAACCACCCTCACAGTTTTACAGCACACAGGGAACAGGGTAGAACTATCTAATCTAGATTAAATTATTTCTAATAGCATTACCATGTTATGCCATCCATAGCTTTTCGTCTTTTCATTGCCTTCTTTTTTGCAGCAGCTGAATTTTTACTGTAATTAATTCGTCGGCGACATTTTCTTCTTCCATGTTTCACCGATCTCATCCTGTCTCTTTTCAGTATCAGTACAGATAACCTTAATTTTATTAAGAATAAGAAAACTATGCTTAAACAATTTTCCATCCCAATTCCCTTTATCTCTTTGTCATCTAAGCACTTGATCATTCCCATCCTCTCCTTTTCATCAAGAAGACCCACCCGACTACCCACAATAACTGATCGACGGGACACGACAGCACTTACTCACAGCAGAAGTTTGAAACTGGTTGTGATATACGTGACTTATTATGAAAATGCGTGTTGCAGTTTAGAAGAAAAATATGTGAAAAGAGAAATGATGAAGGAGGAAGAGGATCGTTTGGCCAAGGAGCAACGTTTACGTAAGGCTGTTTATAATGCCATTGTTACTTTGTCAGAATGTGTCGTTGAAGCAACGTTGCAAAAAATGGTAATTATATATTTGTTGCTAAGTTTTGCTTCTCGATATTTTTATACAAAGTTTAAATATAAAAATTTTGTTTCAATGTTAAGGTATTAATTTATAGTTGAATAGTCTGGATCAGAACAGCTGGATGGAAGTGATCGAGGAACGTTACCTTGGTCGGATGTGTGGTTTTCCACTCTGTGCTAATTCCGTAGAAGTAAAGAATTCGCAGAAGTATCGAATCGACTTGAAAAATAAAAAGGTAAGTTGTGAATTTTGTCTCTGGCAACAAATGCTTTGTTTACTGAAGATGCCGTTTAAATTTTAAGCGTATGTTTTTGATGTTAATTTCTTACATCACGACACATTTGCCTTTAAGCTTTTTATTCTGTTTTAAATTATTGCTTATTTTAACATTTAAATTAAAAGTAATTGTAGGTGAAAGACTTGGTAAATAGAAAATCCGTTTATAATTTTAAAACCTGGAAGAAAGCCAGTTACAATGATGCAGAGGAGAAATATGTATCAGTTATAATATAACTGGAAGAATTAAAATTTTTTAAATTTCAAGTATAACATCAGCATTTTCTTATAGGTGTTCGAGAGATCTGCTGAAATTGATAAATTTTGTAGCCAAGAATGTTTTTTTCGATCTGCTTCAGTGAGGACACAGTTAGATACGGAGCCATTATGGATAAGAGGCGGTGAACAAGGTAACTTTATATGTATGATTGAACATTATTTGGTTATTTTCTGGTTCCACAAAAAAAGCAAACTGTTTAAATTGGAATGGATTACTTTTATTAGTACTTCGTTATTGTTTTTGAATGTTTAGTGTTTGACCAGGTAAATCCTGAAAATCTTACTCCTTCTCATTTTTTAAACACCTGCTTAAATTGATCTAAAATAAATCACAGTAAGTGTTATATTTATTTGAGATTTGAGTAGGAAATATAATTGGCTAATAAAAGAAATAACTTTAAGTAAATAACGCTATGCTTATAAGAATTTTTCTTTTTCTGTTAGTAAAGGTATTTGATTTGAATGCTGGAAATATCAGAAAACAGCAGCAAGACACTTGTGGACGGAGCACTTTTGAATTCAAAGAAGATGAACAGTTGGTAACATTACTTGAAATTTTAAAAGTAAGGGTTTGGCCTTATCTTCTGTTTTTCTTTTAATAATTTTTATTAACATAACGGTAAATACTATTGGTCTCTCCCATACTTCCTTTATTGGATGTTTTTCATCATTTAGATGCAGAAGTGTACATCTGCTACATGCATGCACAGTATAGATTTGAAAATGTCTTCAAACTTTATAATCTTCACAGACAGTTGGCTTATTGCCATTATTATTTTATTATTACTGTTGGTTTCGTCAACTATAAATGAAAAAAAAATGACTGGTTATGAAGGAAACACAAAGATCACAGCTAGCTAAAAGTCCAGAAGTGTTGTTTTTTTATATGTCAATTAAAATGATTTTACTTTGGTTGATTTTTTGTTCAGATTGGAGACAGTATGGAATCTGATAATGAGGATAATGATGATAAAAGCAGCACGGATGAAGAAAAAAAGGATCAAGCTCATGAGGAGTTTTATAACCTTTGCTGCTCTTATCTTACAATGAGGCCTGCAGTTTCGAACACTGAAGAAACTATATTTGTGCCAACAATTAAAGGAATTGTAGAAGAGACCGTTACGGAAAAGCAAATAGAAACAGTTTGTTGAATTTCTTTGAGCTAGAATAATATAAAGGTAGAGAGGAAGATCAAATTCTGTTAATTCCCGATAATTTATATTGTTTACATGCTATGCGCATCATTGTATCTCTTTGAACTTCAGGACAAGAAACATAAGCAACTTTCTCAAAATGAAAAATTGGCTTGTATACGAAACAAGTATCATCCAAATAAACTCAGGCGACCTCCAAAAATAATTAAAGCCAAATCGCTTAGTTCACAGCTTAGTCATAAAGTTCCAGAGAACTTCTATGAAGGTTTTAAGAGAACGCTGTCGTAAGTTACTATTTCTCTAACGTTATTGTTTAAATAAATCAATCATTTTATTTAGATTTTTTGATCTCTTGCTTTGCTGTTTCGAGATAAAAGTAGCTGGATTGCATTTGCTCAATTTTTCAAGAGAATGGTGTGGTCCAGAAACGATATCTTATTTGCAATATCGCCGTAGGATGGATTTATCAGATGGTGAAGATGATGAGGTAGTTACAGAAGCAAGATCCATCACTGCGCAGTTGTATGCAGGTGATAACTTTATTAATAAAAGGATTGAGAGAGATATGTTTCTGCCCTCAATTGACAATCTTGATCAAACAAAACAACGGATTTGGATATTGGCTGACTTACTAAAGCCAAGGTAAGCTCATACCTACCTCACCTTTTTCTTTGTTTAAACTTTTAAGTATTTTGATTTACAAATTGCTACAGAAAGGAGCGAAGTGATAGTATTAATCACAAAAATCCCAGGGAATACTACCATATATTTTATGGCAGATGAAACGATGAAAGGAATCATTTCAAAAAAGCTAACATATACATATATAGTCATATGTTTGAATATTAGGAAGTATTTACTGTAAAAATCGAAGATGGGTGATGCGAAAGACATGTGTAATCTTATTAGTTTTGCTATACCTTTTATATTTCATTCATAGCTGGCGACTTTTGGAAGAAAAATTAAATATAAATGGATATGGACAACAAGCCCTAGAAATTGTTTCCACATTTCATTTGTCAGCAGCAAATGTTATTCTTGAAAGGAAGACATGCGACCTTGCTGTTGCCGTAATTTTCCGTTTGTAAGTTCTGTGCTTTTTAAACGATATAGATTTTAAGATGAGTAACTTTTTTTAAACAGCATTACAGCCATTCTAATGAAATGGAAAAAGTTGAAGATTTTGTGGGTGATTTCTATGAAGTTTTCCTTTTTTGACTGTAAGTGAGAGAAGAGTGAATCAAAAGCAAGAATAAAATGTAAGAACATAACAATTTCGGCATTTTTGGAAATAAATTTAATTTTTGAAGTACTGTAAACGAATCAAATAAGCAATAGCAAATTTAGGCTTGCTTACTATGACAGATCTCTAATGGATTTCTACCCATCTGGCAGCGCTGTATCGTCTAAAATTATGCAGTACTTTGAACAAACAGGTTGTGATGTGAAGTGCTATTTTGAAATCCTTTCTACTGTCATGAATAAATTGGAGTGAGTGTATTCTTCATGTATAATAAGTATACTTATATCATGTCATATGCAGTTTTGAAATATTGTGGTCCATTCTATTCTCTCATATACGATTGTATTATACAAAAAAGAGCGAAATAATAGAAGCAACAAGAAAACATAAGAGATGACCATTCAGCATCTTTAAATTTAATTTTAAAGTGCTGCAAACAAATTAAACAATTTTCCAAGCAAAGATTTTATGATTAATGCTAATTACAGTTTTGGATTACTATAAAAATCAGTATAATAATAATCTTTTTTGTTGATTTCCCAGACAAAAGCAACATCTTTCTGCTACTCGAAGTGATCTCAATAAAATTAGCTTTAATCCATCGACCACATGTTATGGTTGGCAGTTCCATTTCCTTCTTTTCTATTTTTATTTTTTAAATGGGATAAAAAAGATGAAAAAAAAAAAATGGTTGTTTGTCTTTGAAGAAGCTGCCAACTTATGATTGTCAAAAAGTTTCGGAAAAGCAATCGAATTAGCTTCTAAATAATTCGTGGCTGAAGACTTGGTCTTTTGCAGGAGCGGAAGTTAACTGTTTCTAATTAAGATCAAGATTACTTCCAACACTCCTTATGACTAGATGTCCATGGTTGCTGCAGACCTTTGTGCAGGATATTTTTTGTTAGTGCTTTCCGCTGTGATTTTTCCATATCTTCTTGTTTGGATTTATATTATGGTAAGTTAATAACATATGATAATATCAAAATGAAGCTCACCTGCGACAGTAGTTAGTGTGATTTGCTCGTGTGTTTCTAGGTGATTGGTTAAATTGTTCACTAAGCCAAGAGGTCCTTTAATTTGTGCTTAGTATGGATATCATTCTTTCACTGGAGAGCTGGATTTGTTCTAAATAATTTGTTTTGCGTTGAGTATGACAGAAGCTTTTCGTATTGATATCATCTATATATTATGGAGAAGTGGTGTTGAAGTTCATCAATTCGCATTTTTAGCCTTTGACACCCCAAGATTTCGTTATCAGAGTGGCATTTCCATCGCAGTTTTTGGCTGTTCTTTTTCCGCTCGCTTGCTTTATTTCACTGCTTTGTTGTATGGGTTAGTTAATCCTCAGTTCCTCTGTTTTCAGCTCAACCAGTCTACTCCACTGTGTTTTGAAGTTTTAAGGGACATTTCCGTAATCTGTTTCGTTTTCTTAAAGTTCATTTCAGGTATTTCGTCTCTGGTGCTATTTGTGGGTCAAATTCGAGGACAGTCTTTCAAGGCAAATGAAGGGCAAATTTTCTTACGGTGATATACATATGCACATGCATTATGACTTTTTTTGTTTCCTTTTAATGTAATTAAAAAACTTCAAGATAGCTACTCAATTCTATGTGTCCAACTCAATGTTCAAGACACCAGAAGTTATTACATAAAGTTGTGGCTTTATCAGACCGGATCGGGAGACTGTATTGCGAGGATGTAAGATTTAACGGAGCCGCGCGGGTATCGTTAAGGCCGTTGTATCGTTTTAGGTTCTCATAGTTCAAAACGGTTATGTACTGGTGGGGAGGTGGGGGTGGCTGAACATAGTTGATATATGTGAGACCTGCAGTGGTTGATTTAAATTCGCATACCAAGTATTTTCTCAAGGTTTTCAAGTAGTTTAACTTAATGTTCGAAAAATATTTTACAATAGGCAGTGATGATATTTTATGGGGAAGATTGCATAGTCTTTAGTTTATAATATCTCACTTGATTTAGGATAAAATATATCTTAAATGCATATTTGATAAAATTTCGCATGCGTCATCGAGAACTCCTTGAATGTTTCTTTATAGGTAGCATTCAGCATTATTTTATGGTTAAGTAACGCCAACATTCCTTCAACTCATCTTTCTGATTTTGCAATAAAATAGTTATTGACTGATATTCTGCGTTTAGATATAGACATTTATTATAAAGCGCGCTATAATACTATTATATCCGTTCAGATGTATCTGAACTTTTTCTTCTGCAATCTCAACTGCAGGATTCCCATTATAGTGGGAGATATTTTCAGGGTTCCTGGATTCTGTGGATAAATTGGAAGACTGCATAAAAGATGGCGGAACAAACAGAAAGAGCTTTTCAAAAACAGCCCACTGTATTTTTGAACAATAAACTGCGAACTTTGGGAATCGGTAAGAAAGCGAAGAAAGATGTACGTTATGTTCGAAATGTTGGACTGGGGTTCAAAACACCGCGTGAGGTACATTTTGGTTTCGCTTCTGATATATATTTGGCTTATCTCTCTTCTAACTTATTGGTACTTTGGATCGTAAACGCATGGCTATTTATATCAATTAGCATGAAGGGGCACCTTCAGTATCGAAAAATTGTGACTAGAGTTCATGAAAGTTTATTGCATCAAGAAACTCTTCAAGAAAATTTTGATTGGAAGCAGTATTTATTTTGCTGGAGGCTTTGAATAGTAGGTAAGTTCGGCACTGTTCACTAATACGTCTCGAAATATTTCTTTGAGTTTGATTTCAATTACAGGCTATAACCGGGACATATATTGACAAAAAATGTCCGTTCACTGGAAATGTTTCGATTCGTGGGCGTATATTGACTGGTGTTGTTGTAAAAATGAAAATGCAACGGACAATAGTAATTCGACGAGATTATTTGCATTTTATCAAAAAGTATCGTCGATATGAAAAACGTCATCGTAATATGTCTGTTCATTGTTCTCCTGCCTTCAGGTTAACGAATGATAATTTTTTTTTTTTCAATTACAAATTTTGTCAAATCAATAAGGCATCCATTTGCTCAGTTTATTTTTTCCCTTTTCTCTGATTAATTCGCTGCAAAATAAGTAAGTTCATTATCCATTCAGTTAGCTTTGGTCCAGTTAGCAGATTGTTCATTCTGTGCTGTGAATATTATCTTTTCAATATCATTTAAAACTGTTTGGGTCCTTTTTCTGCCTGAAATGTGTTTCTTAAAGTTTGTCGTCTAAACTTGCACATCATCCTTTAAGGAATGTGATAGTGATGAGCAGTTTTTTCAGGGATATAGCAGTGGGAGATATAGTAACGGTTGGTGAGTGTCGTCCATTGTCGAAGACTGTACGGTACAATGTGTTGAAAGTGTTAAAAGCATCAGGAGCTAAGAAATCTTTCGACAAGTTCTGATAAAAATTTTCCATTTTTTATTGTTATTTGACTTAGAAAAAGTAAATTGTTATTGTTGCTTTAGAGTTCTACGTAAGTAAGTGGGTCAGAACTTAATAATGAACAGATTCATCTTCTCGGAAAACTATGGAAGATTATATTAAATACAGGGCGTTTAAAATTGAAAATATGGAAATGGTACTTGTCATGCTTTTAGGAAGTGAAGCTATACTGTTCATGAAAATGAAAATGAAGCTATACTGTTTTATAAAAATTGAGTTGGCAGTGTTCTTTGGATAGAGCTGTTTACTTCATTTCTCGTGTCTTTTTTCGCAATATTACGAGAACTAAATTTGTTCAATAATTTTGAGGCCTTTTTTTTAAAAAAAAGAACGGTTTTATTAATTTGAGCGAGATTTTAAGTTACATCTTCTTATCCACTTCCTAAGGAAATTTTGGGAAGTATTCGAAGTCAATTCCTATGCATTTCTGTGATAAGGTTTCCAAAAATTTTAAAACAATACCATATCTTAATGTTGGGCTTGCCCTTACTGAAGTTACCACGTAACAAGTGTGGATCAGATTAACAAACAAAACCATTAGAGTAGTTTTGTTTATGGCTGGTTCAGATTACCACGTGAACTATATATATATATTTGGACTGTACTATCCCTATTGCTGCTGTTGTTACCGTCGTTTGTCAGTATCTCAGTTTCATATGTATGTCGGGGAAGTGTCCGCGAATGGGAAGTCATTGGCGAAGAACAGATTTTTGTGAGATTTTATTTCTGAAGTGTAATTGCACTTAGCATATCTTAAACCAATGGTCCGTAATAGCTCTGAGATTCAAGTAGTGGTTTCTCAATATCCATATATTCATCGCATTTTTATATCGTTTTACCAAACAAATTTCTGTTGAAATTATCTTTCGCAATATAGCGAGGTAAAAGATCCACGATTAATTCGATGAATTCCGCCGAAGAATACGTTATTGAGGTCGTCTAGAGTTTTATTTATTTGCGTTAGTCAGTGCAGCTTACCTTTCTGATTCCTGACAGGGATGCGAGTCAATACGGTTCTACCAGCTGGATGACTTATGACTCTTAAACCACATGCATTCTTGCCATACCAGTCGTTAGGTCATTTAGTTGACTCAGGAGCTAAGTTCCTGCTGCTTCCTCTTCGGATGATGTGGGGAAAATTAAAGCTTTTTTAATTGATACATTGGTTCAGATTTTTGAAATTAATGGTACCACTGCTGATAGTCATCGGAGGAGGGAACAACAAATTATCAATGATTGTAAGTTTGTGGAAAGACACACTTTTTCTGTACTAGATGTTACCTAGAAATGTACATAGTACTTTGTCCGCGTCAAATCGTGAAGAACGTTGAGCATTGGTATGGTAGCACAATGTATTCTCAGTATCTTCGTGGTAATATTAATTTCAGGTACCATTAAACTAGACAAGGCTATTACAACTAGAGGAGATTAGAATAGAAGGCAATTACTGCTGTTAACTTCCGTGACATTCTACAAATCATGTAATGATAGGCTTGAAGTGCTAACGTCGGTACTTTCAGTTTATCAATCTTTTATTTTCTGTTTTTATTTATTTATTTATTAAAATTAAGATCTTTTGAAACTCATTTTTTAATTCTTTCCGTTCAAGAAAAAAGCTAAATATAAAGTTCTAAAATATGGAAACATAGTCTTTGAAATTGATGAAAAATGAAATATGAGTTAAAATCAGAGACCGTCAGATTAGATTTAACGTATGGCTGCATAAATTCAGCTAAAAGTCTTATATACAATTTTTTGATTTTTTAACCAGAAACCATGCTGAGTTCGAGTGTTTGGTTTCCTGCGTTCTTCTATGATAAGTATATGTACTGTTTAATTGATTAAAGAGCAAGAAATTTCATTCACATTAGCTCATTAAATTTGAAGTTCTACATTTCTACTTTTTCATTTTTCAAATTTCGTCACAACTCATATTTGAATTAACTGAAATTTCATTTAGTCCGTTGAATTTGTAGATATTTTGACATCTCATATCTTGAGATCCATTATGGTTCAGAAAATACTGCCATGTGTCAAAGATTTAATTTAACTTTTATTAATGTGTGGATGTGAGATGCCATGCATTTGCGGGAATAAAATTATCAGAAGTAACAGCGACTGTCACACTGTCAGTTCGATTTCTTCTCTAAATTTTGTTCGTAGAACAAAGTAAACCTTCATTATAACCATCATCATTATTATCATTAGTTGTGAAAAAAGCATCTTATTTAGCACTTCCAGTTACTAAAATTTAATCTTTGATGTGCTTTGACACATAGGTACTTGCAAATGTTTCCGTCAGGTTACTCGCTTAGTTTCTCTCAGAGTCTGACCACAAAATGGATTAAGGAGGATTAAAATGTTGACATTGCAGGTTATTTTCTGAAGACTGAAACTTGATCTAGTCTAGTTAAATTGTTATATGAAGAATGCCTCTTACCAAAGGACGTGATCTGAAAAGTGGGCTGACCTTTCGGTATTCACACTGTCGAGTCGAGGTCTGTTTGTCACAACGACCCAGTGGCTCAGTAAGTACTATGATAATCATTAAATCTCTGCAGAGGTAGATTCAGACTAACTAAAAGAAATTAGTCCTAGAGATGCCCACGCAATCCCTTGGATTCCTGAACCTTGATAAGAGGAGGAGGCGAGGTACCACACCTATCCTAGGAGCCATTTCCAGTTTGAATAAGGACGAACAGACAATTAGATGTGACAAACAAAAAGTAGCGTTGTAATGGGAGAGGTGACAGAGACAGAAGAAATAATGTATCATTGAAACATGGGGAGATCTCGAGAGAATAGTCAAGTATTGTAATTGTGATGGTATAGAGAGCCGAAATATTGTTGAGAATTAGGAGGGGAAAGAGGTTGCAGTAAATGATGAAGCGAGGGACTAAGGGAATCTATAGAGATCTGTGCTTTGATTTGGTTAAAATGGTAGTTAAATTGAGCAGCATTGGAGAGTGCTTATCACAAGTAAGTACGATTCTTCCTGATTAATTTCAAGTTTTGAGTTATAAGATATCACGGAAATATAACTTTCTTCGAACATAAGTAAATTAGAAAGATCAATAACGTGCATATTTGGATAAGCACCTACAAGGGTTTTTTTCTGATCAAACTCTATCATTTATTGTTTTAGTTTCAGATGGCTAATCACTGCATCGGTTGATTATACGGAGGGACATTGGCCAAGGTATAGAACATACTCCGAAATATCTTTGTTTCTATTAAATGCCTCCCAAACATGTGTTGTTTATTATTGGTTTATAACAGTTACTTTAAGCTCTGCTATCAATTACCACTGTAATTGGTACCTGAACGAATGAAATGGCAGCTGCGAAATATTTTGGAGAGGAGAAATTGGAGGACGCGACTTATGCGATATATCTACGTAAAGTACGCTATGTATCACCACTGAACATCGAATCTTCGGTATTTGTCTTCTTTTTTAAGTGGTCAATTTAAGACCGCAAGCAATAAAAGCTAATCTGAATGATGAATATAGAAATAATTCAGATTAACTTAATAAAATATTGCCACCCAAGAGATGCTTTTCACTGTTGTAGGTATTTATTTACAGGTTGATCACACGTCAGATGCAAAGAGATGTGATTGTTCTATAGGCAACATACCCGATCACTTGCACTGGGAAACCATTCGAGAACGAATTATTCGTGCTGGAACATTACAGAAACTAGTTGTAAATTTTGACGCTGTTATTACGTGTAGTAGAGAAGTGGACAATTTTTGAAATTAACTGTCTTATTGGTAGAAACAGCATTGTGTTTGATTCATATTTGAATTATTGTGTCTCAGATCATCAGCTTGTAAGATCACTTCCACTTAATACGTTCATACAGTGAAAAGCTATCTTAGGTCTACCTTCTCCTAATTTGTACAAAGGAGTTGAAAAAATCTCATGGATGAAATTTTAGAGGTTTTACAGTTTATTAGATCTCTTTAGCTTTAACAACAATAAATCAAAATCAGTCGTTTTTATGCCTTCTTGATTCATTTAATGTTTGTATTTTAGGAGTGTCTTATAAGCGATGATATGTTGATGGACTCGAGACATTTTAATGTTTTCTTCGCTACTTATCGTTCTTTCTCAACATGCTCAAATGTACTCGAACTTTTACTTCAACGTTATGTGTCGCTTGAGATGAATTCACTGGTAGTTGGCAAAACGAAAACTATTACTTTGCAATGGTCTTTTTTTTTTTTTGACTGTGAAACGGATGTTATCGGTTAAACTTATTCACACGCGTCATAAGCACTTTGTTAAGCATATTTTTCTCTTTCTAAATAATTAAGAGTAGCGTATCCATTATTATTATTTTATTCTGGCAGCTAGAAATCGATAACATTGTAGCTTACAAGTTAGATGATAACCTTTCATTCATAATTTTGTTATGCAATAATTGCTTATCAGGCTTCAAAATCTGGGATTCGAGGACTGCTTTAATTCTTAAAACATATTTAGTGAGAAAAGAGAATTTTAGCTCTCTACGTTCAATAATAATGTGCTGGTTGGAAATGTATCCTGAAGATTTCAATGAGCCAAATGCCGACTTTGCTACTTTGATGCGATTGATCGAGTTTGGTAGAATTCATAAAATCACAGATGTAAGGACAAAAGCTCGGCAGTTGCGAGAAACCTATAAACGTCGTGTTATGGATGGACGTTGTTTAGGTATGCTCATGGTGGTTAGAACCACAAATATCAAGTTTATCTTTTGCATTTGCAATAATAGAAAATTCTTGCATTTCGTTTAACTTCTCCTTCATGTAGCAAAGCTGATTAAATAAAGTCGTAATTTTCTAAGTGCATTTTTATGCTGGGCCTGTCTGCGTTGTAGTTACTTTTCATTTAGATTTTTTTTTTTTTTTCTGTACTAAAGAATCATACTGCGATTTTGGAACGAACTTTATTTCTCAACTTTTTTTTTTCGA